CCACCCCAAAAAGAAGCGGGGGGGGGCCGCAGTTTTCCTCTGCCCCCCCCCCAGGAGGTGCAGCAGGGCTGGGAGCCCAGGCAGGGCACGGGATCCCTGCCAGTCCTCCAAATAACCCCGCTGGGGGGGACACTAAGACACTAAAAATACCCCGGCTCGGGTTGCTGCCCAGAGCCCCCCCGTGGCAGGACCCTCCCGCAGCCCCGTTTTCCCTCTGGGATGCGGGATTTTAGGGGGTGATGCCCAAATCAGCCCACTCGTGAGCTGAGCCCACCCGACCCCAACTCCCTGGGTGGGGATGGGGGTTGGCAGCCCCCCCTCCTCTCATTTCCCCACCCCATCCCTGGGCTCTGGGGCTGGAGCAGCTCTGCCCACGGAGCCTGGAATTCCCAGTTGGGGCACGAAACAGGGCTGGGGCTTTGGTGGGTGTTCCATGGCTTGTTTTCCAGGAGGAGAGCAGCCAAATGGAGCAGCTCGTGACCCAAAAACCACTTGGATCTGGCTCCTTCCCCTCCCTGGCCACTCGGGTCCCTTTCCCTGCTCTGTCTCCCCCCCTCACAGGGTTGGTTTTTTTGGAGGGGGATGCACAGCCTGTCCCCCCCATCTCTCAGCCATTCCTGTGAGTTCGGTCCTTGCCATCAAAAATAAACACAACCCTGGGGTTCTGCTCATCCCACCCCCCTGGGAACACCCCCCTCCATGGTTAGGAAACCTCACCCAGCTCGGAGGTGTTGGAGCCTGTGCTCGTTTTTCCACCTTTTTTTTTTTTTTCACCCCGATGAACTATTGTCTCTGGCATCCTGTTTGTCCCAGGGAGTTTCTGGTGTCTGGGTTTGGCAGCTGTGGCTGCTCCAGGCAGCTGGAATGTTGCAGGAATAGCAGGCAGGAATGGTGCTGCCTGCCTGCCCTCACCTGCCTCTGCTGCCCCTCACCCTGGGATTGTTTTGGGCAGGGAACCTGCCACCCATCCAAGGGGGAATTAATAATAATAATAATAATTAATAGGCTGCTCAGGATTGACAGGTCTTAACGCTGTCTGTGCTTATTTATTTAGTTGGTGGAGTTCCTGTTGGATGATCTGCTAGGTGATCATCCTGGAGAGGTGAGGGCAGGATGAGGAGCTGGTGCTGGATGATCATCCTGGAGAGGTGAGGGCAGGATGAGAAGCTGGTGCTGGGTGATCATCCTGGAGAGGTGAGGGCAGGATGAGGAGCTGGCTGCTCACACCTCTGATCCCACAGCTCTTACTGGGAGATCCTGGAGCACTGAACCCACTGCCTTGGGGTGCTGGGTGAGGAGGGTGGGGTGAAGCACAGCCCTCCTCTCTGCTGGGTAGTTCCCGTCTCCAAAGGCATCAGATGTTGGGACCTGTTGGGTCAAACCACAGCCATTCCAGGGGTTGTTCCCAGGACAACCCACGGAGAGGGCAACTGTTCTAGCGTGACAAGTGCCAGCCAGCCAGAAGGACAGTCCCTGGCACAGGATCCATCCTGCTCCCAGCACCACAACCTCGGGCACACGGTCCCAGGTTTGGGACCAGGTTTGATGGATTGATGGATCCGTCCATCGGCACCTCTGGTGCAGGAGCAGCAGAGCAACACAACTCGCTTCTCTCCAGCCAAAACCAGGCCTGGGCGTTCCCGAGGCGGGGCAGGCAGGCCGGGCAGTGAAAATTAAAGAGGTTTAATTATCTGCAGCAATGAAGGAGGCAAAGCTCTGACTCCCTGCAGGCCCCGGGGCCTTCAGCC